GGAGTACGGTTTTAGGGTACGGTACGGTACAGTGGTACGGTAGGGTGCTTAGTATTGGTACACTCCCGACCCTACGAAAAAATACCTCCTTTTTCTGGTATATACAGTAAGTGAGACTGTTTTGGGGTATGGTTTTGGGGCGCGGTACGGTAGAGTGGTAAGGTACGTTGGTATGGTTTTGGGGTACTGTACAGTACAGGCGTACAGTGGTATAGCTTGGAGTTGTTCAACTCCGATCCAAACTTTGCGAATATCGTGCTGAGATGGATTGAAAATATTGAAACTACACATCACGTGAATTTGTCTGATGCACTCAAGTGACTTGTGTCCGACCTAGCGCAGTTTCGGTGGTACAATTTTTGGGTACAGATCCAGGTCAGTTATAGAGCGAATATATGCGATTATGATTTATGGAATTGCGGTTGCAAATCTCTAGAAAGGCCACACATCGGAATTTGAATTTTCACGTGCAACATGCGTAAAAGAACATCAAAAGGCTGTATTTATGAATCACATTAAATCACAACTTAAAACCCATTCAAACTACATTTGTTCATGAATGTGTGCTTCCAAAACCACATTGAAGAAAAGCAATATTCTGAGACAACTCTTTTGGCCACCCACAACGATCGAAATAGGAGAAACACTTTGAAACAAAAAACAATATTCTGAGACTCTCTGCTGGCCACCCCCTACCCCTCCCAATAGCAAGACTTCTTGGAACGCGCTTTCGTTTTGACTTTTTTCAGCAAACCTCGAGACTTTTGGGAATGTTGTTTTTTGTCTTGATCTCCTAGAACCCCAATCTCAGGATTTCTGGAACAGCGTGTTTCTGGATGTTTCTGGTACGTATATTTAATGTCTTGTTGAAACCAAGACTCAATCAAGACTCCTGCAAAACCTTTCGTATTATTTGTTTGATATTCTTTGTCTTCTGCAGGGGAGCCAAGACTTCCGGAAAACTAGTCTTAAAAGCAAAAAAACACTTTTCAGCTGCAATAACTATTTGTACTTATTTGAAAGGAATGCTGGTTGTTTACGAGTTTGCATTGTCAGAAACACATCACTTTCTGACAGGAATACTGTAATGGTTTGTAGCGCAATTTCACTGCTTGAAAAGAACACCGAACTTGAAGAGCGCTACCCTTTCAAAAGGATTTGCAAAGAAATATTTTTTTAAGCATTGCAGTTGTCGACGGAATAGCATATTATATGTCAAAAGGAATTCCATGTTTTTGCAGGGAGCACTTGATATTTTGAACAAGTACTATTTCTTTGAAAAACATTGCGTCTCTCAAATGAAAACTGTGTGTCTCAGACACTGCACATCTTTAACTGACAGCTGTATCTTTCAAAGGAATACTTCAAATACAAACAGAAAATCTGCTGAATGTTGCCTGCATTTTTGAATTTAACATTGCATTGGTTCAATCCATGTTTCATATTTGGCCGATGTGTTTTGTACATAAAGCACTGCCCTGGAGGAATATTGCACCCATTGAAGAAAGATGCATGTTTTGAATGGACATCTTTTATATAAACTTGCATTATTGCACAGAAATCTACATATTTCCTCAGGTATTTACCTTTGAAAAGAACCGGCCTTGTTACATAAACAATTGCATACCCTTTTGAAAGAACATTGCGCATGTGGAAACGGAACAGTTATTTTCTTGAAGGAAGACTTCTTCTTTGAGAGAAATGATCACTGAGCGCTGTTTCTGGAATACTGAGTACTGAGTATGCCTATCTTATTTGGGCATATCTATTAACATGTAAATTTGAATAGTCAAAAAGGAATGATCAGTTGAACTCCCTTATCAAAACCAAGAATTATACAATAATCTTACTTCTCTCAAAGGTCAAATACTGCACTTTCTTAAGAGGATACAGGACGCTGAACTGTTTGTTGGAGTTGCACACCAATATGCGGGCAAGTGTGACGCCCTCTTATTCTGAGACATGCTCTTTCAAAAAGACTATGCGTTTTACTGTGTGCCCGCAATCCAATGTGCACAAAACAATTTCCGATCTTTAAAACCTACATTGACATAGACTTAAAGACAAACCATTATAAATCTTAAATCCCCCTCAATGGCAACCCCTTATTGAAGACACCATAAGACATCAATATTACTTTACCCCAACACTCACTCTCTCCTTTACATTGTTTTGGGCACCAGTTTTGACCGGTTTTTGCTTTGGGATGTTTATCTTCCACAAGGTATCGTATCAACATCTCACCACGCCATTACAGTGCACCGCAGAATTCCCATGAATTCCCTACCAACATCTCGTCGCACCAACATGCCACATCATGCTACATCACCATAGCGTACCAGCATCTTATCTCACCCGCGTGCCTTACCAACACATCCCAAAAACACCGTACCGCACCAGCATCTCATCCCGCAACACAAACGACTCACTGCACCACTGTATCGCACCAATTTACCATACCAACATTCAATCGCACCATGCCACCGTACTGTACCAGATAACACTGAACCACCCCAATGCAGTACCATCATATCGCACTATGTATTAAAAAGATTATCATAATCATATCTTATCATTATATCGTGCCATGACCCCAAAACCGTACCACTGAACCGTACCACTGCACCGTACCATGACCCCAAAACCGTACCATCGTACCGCACCATGACCTCAAAACCGTACCCTCCAATCGTACCCCGTTCCAAGCATCCAAATTCACACCTACTTTGAAAATTCATAAAATCTATCTATCTAATCTATCTATCTATCTATCTATCTATCTATCTATCTATCTATCTATCTATCTGCAAGCTTGAAAACGAAGCTATTCTGCGAGACTTCTTCATTTTTAACATCAAAAACGAAGCAATTCTGCGAGACTTCCTCATTTTTTGCCCTTGACAGCATCAAAAACGAAGCAATTCTGCGCGACTTCCTCATTTTTTTTAAGTTGACAACATCAAAAACGAAAAATTCTGCGAGACTTCCCTCAAAAATGGAAAGTTGAGTGCAGAGCTGACGGCCTCGTACCAATGCGTTTTGCGATTTTTCCACTCCACCTGTCTACAGTACTGCGCCTGCCACGAAAAAGTGAAGCCAGGTCATACGAAGTGCTGCACCTGTCACGCAAAATCATGTTCCCAAAACTGAAGATCAAAGGCTCCAAAATGTAACCCCTCTCAGGAAATCAGCGCCCGGACCTCCTAACAGCTCTGATGAACATGTCTCTTGCACTGCGCTTGCCACGGAAAATGCATCTTTGCAGACCCTCTTCAAATGCCCCACGCCTGCCATCGTTTTTGGAAATGCTACAAAACCCTCACGTTTTGCTCACTTTTGACAAGGTGCACAATCCTGCGCGCCTGCCACGCGAAACGACACCTGAACGTCCAAAAGTGGTCCGAGCATGTGGTGCGTTTAACATTTTGACTTCTGCAATGTGCTTCGCGCCACAACGGCGTGCACTTTTTCGACATCGCAACTTCCAAAAGTGCTCTGTACATTTTGACTTGGAAATGTGCTTCGTGCCACAACGGCGTGCAATTTTTCATCTCTCATCTGGCCAAATGGCTCCGCACCCGCTGCTTTAGGGAGCCTACTTTTCGACCCTCCGGAGCCACAAACCATTGGAAAAACACAGTGTTTCGCGACTTTCCTACCTTTTCGCGCACCTGCATCTTCTTTCTTCTGATTCTTTCTCTTCTCTGATCTTCTCTCTTCTGCTCTTCTCTCTTCTACTCTTTTCTTCTCTCTGACTCTTTCCATCTCTGCTTTTCATCTGTCCATATTGTCGGAAGTTTGACTTCTAAACTTCCTTCGACAAAGTAGTACTGGGACGTACTTTGTGCAAGCTTTGTAGTACAAAGTAGTACTTGGAACGTGCTTTGCGCAAGCTTTGTAGCACAAGTAGTAGTACTGGGACGTGCTTTGTGCAAGCTTTGTAGTACAAAGTATTTCGGAAAGGCTTTTCTGTCTAAATGCATTTGTGTCTCAACTGTCTGTGTGCAAAAAAACTTTCTGCGCCCAATGTCTTTTTTGTGCGAGAGACATCTCTCTGACAGTAAGAGCTTTCTGGCGCGCAGAACGGCTGAGATGAGTTGAGAACAACTTCAAGGAGATGAGAAAGGTTGATCAGTGCTTGGATGAGATGAAAACAGTTGAACTTACTTTGATGACATGTGAGAAGAGATGGGATTAGATCAGAAGAGCGGAGATGAGGTAAGAAGAGCTCACATGCTTTAAGATGAGATGAAGTGTGGAGTGTGAAGTGCAAGTGTGAAGTGTGGAGTGTGAAGTGCGAAGAGTGCAGTGTGAAGTGTGCGGAAGGTCTTCGCTTGGGGTTGCCTTGCACCGGGGTTGCGCGCAGGTCATGTTCTTGGACAACATCTGTGCAACAGCTTTGCACAAAGCACGCACGCACGGGCCTGGCTGGCGCACGGCGCATGCAAGTTCTATAGACGAGAAAGGTCTTATCGTATATCCCTAAGGCAACTTCCGCGCCGTGTCGCGCGGGCACTGCCGGTATGGTTTTATGTGGGTTTTAATCTAGTTTTTGTATGGTTTTTGTTATATATGGTTTTTCTATGGATTTATGTGGATTTTTATCAGGTGTTTATATGGTTTTTGAAGTTTTATATTTGACATTATGTCAGATCGAACGTTGTGATGTTGAAATGATGAACTGGGGTTCGAAAAGAATCGAGAAACAAGCACACATATGTCATGATGCACTTCTATCGCGGGATTGCAGGGTGTTGCCGCTTCCACCTCCATCCAGTTCGTCTAAGATAATTGGTACATCATCATTCCAATTGTTTTCGTAGTTATTTTAGAGACAATTACCGGTTATTACCCATTTCAGTCTCCAATTTTGTTCATACTTTCATATATCCCTAGATATTTTCATGAATATGTTCATAGATAACTTCATAGATCTTGATGACTATCCTTTCCATCCCATCTCATCCCTTCCCCACCAAACCGCAGACTGCGCAGCGCAGGTACGTGGCAGCATCGCTGGCCACCAAAGGCGACCTGTTCACCTGGTGTGATCAAGATCCACCGCCTGGATTGAAACGTGAGGCCAGGCGGCCCTGCTGTTTTTTCCCCAAATCCCATGAGTTTCTGCTGGTTTTTAAACCATTTAAAACCATAGTCCTGAGATATACAAAAGGGTTGAGAAGTTATGATATCTTGACATATATCTAGATGAATCTTAATAGGGTAGATCGATGATTTGTTTCTATAAACGAAACTCGTTGATAGATGATGTAGTTCTAGTTCTTAATATCAGATCAGCACAAAAAACACATGTAACATCTGATTTTTCGAACAGTCATCATTTCTAGTTATGCAGCTATGCATATAAAACAATCCTGCACCACCTTGGATTGAAACATGTTGAAAGATGTTGAAAATCCTTAGAATTCATGGGATCAGACTTTCGGATAAACCATGGAACCATGACAGGCTGTGATGCTGCCCATCGTTGGACAAATCTTCGTGGCAGTTCGGTGGCTTCACGATTTGGGCGTGGCGCATCGCGATTTGTCGCCCCTCGATTTGAAAAGCCATGGTTTGCAGCAGATTTCAGGGAAAAAATTCACCAGAAACTGCCAGAAACCATGATTTTTATTTTTTTGATGTTTTTACCATGAAATATATAGGGTTTTGCTGTAAATTGGTCCCTTAAAATCCCTTAACCCAATCCAATGATAGTTGTTCAAGCTGTTTTGTTCGGGTTTCAACTTGGACCTCGCTATCTCCAGAGATTGGATGGTTGATATCCAGCGTTGACATTCTGCGTGTGATGAATTTCTGTCTAAGCTATGAGAAAACTGGTGTGGATTTGGAGGCTGTATTTTGGGACAACTTCGCTGGGTTTTTGGTGAGTTTTCGGGACGATGATGACTATTTTGACTATTTCCAACAGGAACAGAGGAGCCAAGCCGAAATGTCGGGGGAGATTTTCGGCAACTGCGGTGATACTGGTGACTATCCCTGTTGTTGGGTTCCCTGCATGGGCAATGCTAATGTCTCGCCACATTTTCAAGGCTGGAGAATATCCTCTTGTCAGATCAAGGTGGCCGGGTGTCTCAGATGATCCGATCACTCATTTCAGCGGATTTTCTGGCAATTTGCATGTCGTTTTCTGTCTCAACCCAGGTACTCAGCAGGTCAAATTGATTGACTTTGGTATGGCGACGGTGAATCGCATCTGCAAAAAGGAGGCCGAAAACTGATGAAAACTGACCGGAAAAACGGATGGGTTCTGTTCTGCTGCAGGTTCGCGGGAAGCAATCGTACCAGGTGGGGTTGCCATAGCTTTACAGCCATGGCTTTACATGCGAATGTCTTGTCACTTGTTGAGCTTTGTAAGCGATTTATCATTTGAACAATAAATAGCTCTTTATATACGATTAACGATTAATGGTTTATCATCGAAGGAAGTTTAGAAGTGAAACTTCCGACAATATGGACAGTTGAAAAGCAGAGGTGAGAAGAGTCAGAAGAGAAAAGATCAGAAGAAAGAAGAGGTAGATGCGCGAAAAGATAGGAAAGTCGCGATTCACTGTGTTTTTCCAATGATTTGAGGCTCCGGAGGGTCGAAAAGTAGGCTCGCTAAAGCGGCGGGTGCGGAGCCAGCTGGCCAGATGAGACATGAAAAAGTGCACGCCGTTGTGGCACGAAGCACATTTCCAAGTCAAAATGGACAAATCACTAGAGGAGCGGACCACTTTTGGAAGTTGAGATGTCGAAAAAGTGCACGCCGTTGTGGCGCGAAGCACATTTTGAAGTCAAAATGTGCAAAACACACCATGGTCGGACCACTTTTGGAAGTTGCGATGTCGAAAAAGTGACGCCGTTGTGGCGCGAAGCACATTTGGAAGTCAAAATGTACAAAACACACCAATGTCGGACCACTTTTGGAAGTTCCGATGTCGAAAAAGTGCACACCGTTGTGGCGCGAAGCACATTTCGAAGTCAAAATGTACAAAACACCACATGTTCGCGCCACTTTTGGAGGTTCGGATGTTGAAAAAGTGCACGCTGTTGTGGCGCGAAGCACATTTCGAAGTCAAAAGTGTAAAAAACTGAGGGTTTTGAGCCTTTTTTGACATTAAGATGTCGAAAAAGTAGATAGTGATTAACTTAACTAACTTGACTAACTTAACTAACTTCACTAACTTAACTACCCTAACTTCGACGACAACAGCACAACTACAATCTACAATCTACAATCTACAACTACAACTACAACTACACAACAACTACAACTACAACTAGAACTACAACAACTACAGCTACAACAACAACAACTACTACTACAACAACTACAACTACAACTACAACTACAACAACTACAACTACAACTACAGCAACAGCAACAACAACAACAACTACAACAACAACTACTACTACAACTACACTAAACAACTACAACTACACTACACAACAACTACAACTACACAACAACTACAGCTACAACTACAACAACTACAACTACAACAACTACAACTACAACTACACAACAACTACAACTACAAAACAACTACAGCTACAACTATATGACTGCAACTACACTACACCAATTACATTACACCACAATTACAACTCCACTACGCTACAACTACAACTACAGTTGCAGTACATCACACTACATCCAGCAGTTGTGGGTGAGGTGACCGCTGCAACCGTTGCAACCACTCCAGCAAACACAACTCCAACCACCTTTCGGTCAATCAGTGGATTCGCTCTGCCATCCGTGATTCACAACAACCAACGTCTCCTATAGGTTTCCTATTCTGAAACTTCCGCCACCGCCTTGTGCGGTACTACTGGTATAAACATTATAAACCAGACCTCTGCCAGGTTTTCTGACACAACTTTTTCACATTCGCCGAGGCTCCCGAAATGCACGGCTCTGAACCATATGATGCATTTCTAACAGATGAGCTCCTCGGCATCGTAGAGAATGCCCGTGCAAAAAGAACTGCCAGTTGTAAAATGGATATCGACTTGGGTAGTGTATAGATGATTCATATAGATTCTATGCAGATCATATACATATCATATGATGTTACTATTATTTTTAATTTATATATATATATACATATGTATACGTAGACTTTATATAGATGACATTTATACAGATGATAGAGATTACATAGTGACCAGATGTGATCAGCTGCCATTCCGTGCAGTTCTCAGGTTTGCCTTGGGCGTCTCGATTTTTGCAATGGCAGTGCAGGTTCCTCTGCTTTCAGCCATCAGCAGATTGCATTGTGGCCATTGCATGCCATTGCATCAATAAGGCCTATTTTTTAGGCCTATGTAAGGGAATATCCCCGCAAAATATGGCCAGAAATATGCTACGTTTACGTACCTCCATCAATTGGATCCTGAATTTTCTTCCTGCAGGATTATCCATGGACGTCGACCAAAAAGAGCAGTTGCCAACTCTTCGAATACATCTCCACCTTCGGCCTCATCAAATTTCTGAAGAAACGGAAGCTGCGCAAGGGCACGGAACATCTCGCGGAGGCCAGGGATGATCCCTTCCCGGAGTCCGACGGAATGGGCATCTTCCGATGTTTGAAAAAAAATCGCCACTGGCGAAAAATCCGAAAAAAAGATAGGGAAATGATGGGAAAACTGAAAAATGATGTGATTTTTTCAGAACCCAAATGCTAATCCAAGTGAGTCACCAGGTGATGAGCCCGGAGCTCATTCAACTCATTGATGCTATGGTGCAGGCGCTTAGGATGGGATTATGGATGATCTATCAGTATATTTGGAGGTGGTGTTATGGATTATATGAAATTATATGTATACATATGCATATTTTTTTTATAAATATATATATATATACATGCATATGATGATATACCATGTCTATACATATAACTGTGTTGAATATAACTTAGAACAGATCACATCAAGGAACCGTTGTCTCCCATTCTTGACTGATGCTACCCCCAAGCCATCCAATGGTTTATTTCATCGTTTTTCCGATGGACATTGCCCCATAATGGTGCTAATAGTTGTGCTGAATCCCCTCCTTTTTTTTTGACCGCCACCCAACAACCACGACAGTTGGATGCCAACAATCGGCTTTCCTTGGGCGAAGCATGCTTCAATGGAGAGGCCGCGGCACCGGGGCGGCGACCCCAAAATCCATGGCTTCATCATCCAACCGTTCCAACCTCCACAGAATCACCAAATCCATGAGTTCTGAAGAGGGATCGTTGTTTCTTTCACTTAAAATCCAACAATCCAACATACAAATACGCAAAATTGGAAAGAATTTCTTCGCTCAGAAATTATATACCCATATAGTTTTTGCATTTTGTAGATTTACAATGTCCACACCATTCCCATTTAACAGATAGTGAAACTATACAGATATATATATTTTTGTATACGGTTGTGCCAACTCATTATAGGTAAATGATAACCACAAGGGAGGTAAACTGATCATTTTATCTATGGATCCAAGTTACTCCCCTTGCAGCAACAGAGGCATAACATATCATACATTAGTCATATACTCATGATATATCAATCATGTACTTATCCATTAACTATAAAGTAGATGATAATCATTCAAATTGAATATCATGTAGGTTATGTGTAGATTATGTGTAGGTTATATATTAACCATGGTTAATTAACCATTATTAATCAGACTCCGTTGCCGTTCGGCACGGCTTTCTTCGTCCCAAGGCACGCCGAAGCGTTTGGGATGAGCCTTGGATTCAGGCCTTTCAAGGCGCGATGGAAATCACTCACTGGAGATCAAAATGATTCAATATGACTGTGATATTATATAGATATATATATATATGTGATATAGTGTGTTTATCTTATATATGAGATATTTATTTGATTGTATATACATCTTAAATGTGTATCTAGAATATCAAAGAGAATGTACTTCTACATGTAGGTCCGAGATGGGAACACCCCTTTTCGGCCAGGACCATAGATGCCAGCCTCGCAGGAGCAAGTGTCATCCGATGTTTTCAGTGGATGCTTTAAAGATCATGTCAGATCATGATGTTTGGATGATGATATTTGGATGGATGTTTGATGGATGTTGTATGTTGTTTGATGGATGTTTGATGGATCTTTGGATCTTTGGATGTTTGAAGCGATGAAACTCATAAATTCCATGTGTTCATCCTGAAAGATCCAACTCTTCGAAGGAGATCCCGAGGTAACCGACCAATGGCGAATGCTGCGTGGCAACTCGATTCCCGGCAGCTTCGTGTTCCGCTGTCTCGAGGAAATCGAGGAACTTGCCTTGTCCTTCCCTTTTTAAACAGGCAACGTTCAACCGTTCAAGCCACATTCGTGATTTTCACGAATCCGATCAATCCGATCAATCTGATCAATCTGATTCTCTCAACGTCCTTGGACAAGTTTCACTTGTGAGCCAAAAGCACAACGCCCATGACACGAGGGTCTCGAAACCGTGACGATGACAACGATGACACCATGCTGTTCCGGTTCACAAGATCCCGTCCAGGCGATCAAGAAAAATCCACGGTTTTTTTCCAGAACCCGGAGAAACCCGGAGAAATCAGAAAATCCCCAGCCGTTTTTCAAAAGAAAAATCTTCGTTCTTTAAAAAAACAACAAAAAAACATGTGCAAATCATAGTTCTAAAACTAGTTATCTGAGATCTCCGAAAAAAGCTGTGTTTGGTTGTTCGAGAAAATCTCCATTGGGTTCTGGCATGGAGCGCTGAAACCAGCTGCCCATCGCGGCCAGAGGAATGGCCCAATGGCCCGCGGGAGAAATCCTGAATGCCCAATCTGCTCTCCTCGCATGAGGGCGTTTCAAGATCTGATAAAAATCCCCCTTAAAGTGGACATAATTTGATCATCTCCAATGAAAATCATTGAAAATCACTTGAGCTATTTTGAGACAAGAAAGTTTGCTCATGCATTTCATCACCATTCAACTTGGTGAAACAGCACCCAGAGCGACAGAGCAATGCAGAGCAGCACTTGGCAAAGTCCATGTCTGAAAGATTCGGTTTACACAGTCACAAAGTGGGCTTCTCGGTAAAATGGGACTGGAATTGCCCAAAATCGAGATTTAAGTATATAACTATGACATACTACGAGTACAACAATGTATGGACACTTGAAAATGCGTGTGTTTTGAATTCATATCAATGGATAATCATGATAATCTAGTTGGGAATGCCCCATTTTCAGAGAACCCCAGGTATTCAAAACCAAGTGTCAAATGTAAAATCAAAATCCAATGCTTTCGCCCGTGAACCGTGATCTTTTTTGTTTCTTGCCACCTGCAAGACGTGTTTGACAATGTCCGAGAGCTGACCTTCCATTGAAATCAACGACACGATACGGACACGGACACGCACAGCGTTTCGCTTCAGGTCAGCTTTGTGACTTTGCAGCACGGTTCAGCCTAATAAGACCAAAAAGTGGAGAAAAATGAGAAAAGCTCAGCGGGTTGTGATCCGCTTCTTGATGTCATTTGGCACATGTGATTTGGCATCCTGTAACTTCTGCCTGCAGCAAAAGCATCACCAATCACAAACCAAAATCATATATCCAACAATAATAATGGGTTATTTGGGTTCTTATATGATTTTGGATATGAAAACCAAATATCCACAATTATTATGGATTATTATCATATATCCAAAAGCATGATCCATCGATCACCATAATAATCCAACAATATCTAAGCGACATCAACGAGGCATCACGAACGGAATTACAACCATCAATGGCTCCTTGCTATCCATCAATAGAGCTAGAAAAATTAAGAACCACCCATCATCGATCATCGCTATCCCTATCGTAACCTCCAAGTAGGATTTACCATGGATTTACCTGTGGATTTAGTTGTTCTGTCTGGGAGTTACTTGAGAATTCATTGTTATTCTTTCGATTCTTTCGATTCTTTCGACATGGCCGCCATGGCCACATGCCGAAGGCAGGGTTCAGAAAGTCCCTGGTTCCGTTGTTCGGTGGAAAGTGAAGCAGCTTTTTAGTCCCGGCCAGGTTGGTCCTCTCAGCAGTCATCTCAGTGATCGGGAAAACTTGATGGAAATCTGATGACGATCTGAATCGAAATGTGTCAAGATCTGATGGTTTCTGATATCATGGCCATATCACCAGATATCAACAGATGGCCATCAAACAGATTTTGACACATGTTTTGTTAGTTGTATTCCTGGATGTCAGGCGCGGATGGGTGAAACTCTCACGCGAGTCCGGCTCGCGCAGGCCGATGTATTTTTCTTTGAGTTTTACGTGTAAATGTAAGATGATAGATTATGATAGTCCTATATTTTCTTCTACAGATTGTGTAATTAGATGTAATGATACTATTTGGATCTATTTGGGATACTTTGATATTACAGGCATAGATAGGTATAGCATGTATAGTATATAATTTCATTTGTCAAACACCTCCTGAGGCTAGGTGCAACAGCCAGACCGGCCTGAGCCACCTAGAGCCCAAAGAGCGGGTTTGGCATCTGCCGGACTGGGCCAAACAGGTCCCCGAAACGGGCCAAAGACGTGGAGATGGAAACAGGTTCTGTAGGAAAAATCTGGGATGTTATGGGATTATATACATGTAACAATCATATATAATTAACAGTTCATGATGGATCAAAATCTCTTGATGTTCAACTGTCCATTCATGTCCATTCGTCCATTCAACTTCCATCCTATCATCATCTATCATCATATATATCATCTTAGTGTATCTCAATCATCCCAATCATTCCATTCATCAGATCAGATGACCATGATCCCATCCCGTCAGGAGACGAAGCCTCCCTTGCAGCTGCGGCTCTTGGGTTTCACCATGCTGCTGCCCTTGGGTGCTGGATCTTTGGTGACTCGGCGATATGCCAATGCCATGTAAAAACCAACGAAAATAGCGATGGGAATCGGGTTGAAGTTACCCTCTGGTAAACTAACATAACTATGGGAAATCACCATTCTTAATGGGAAAATCCACTCTAAATGGCCATTTTCAATAGCTATGTTAAATTACCAGAGGGTAGATTATCATTGGGGAATTAGAATGATGTTGCGAATCGATGATTGAACTTATAGATGTAACATGATGTAACTGAGTACTTCAATGGATTTTCGACTCCTCGATTTTTGGTATGGTTATTTATACATCTTTCTAACACATCCGAAAAAATCAGGCCGTGCACTTACTGGCGGAAGAGGATCAGGACGACAACCATCACCGTTGATGATTGATCCAAATGGGATTTGTCAGGCCGGTGCGGATCAATCGGAAAAATGTGTACAACAATTTAAGGATCATATCATATAGGTTTGAGAGGCCATGGTGAAAAATATAGATACCCCCGATATGATATCCCCAGTGATTCAAGATTGGATGCTGATGTGGCTTTAAAAAAAACGTCATCATCTGGGATGTACATGAAAGAACGACAGCACCACAAAGGTCTGCTGAAAAAAATTGCAGGGACCATTTCTGGCTTCGCACCCGAAATCAGGAGACAGAGAATGAGGACGGAACACGGGCAGAAAGCTGTCAGTTTTCGGGGGCACCCCAAACTCTCATTTAAATATGGAAGAAATGAATGAATCATCTGATTTTGGGGCACATGCTCAGACAAACCCAGTTTCTGATGGTTTCTTTTGAGACTTGGATGATTTCAAGCATTTTGGTTGTCCCTCCCTTGGTCAGCGGCCAATCATCAACTCAAATGAAACAAAAAGAGTCCGAATCAGCAACAGAAAACACAAAGATACAGCAAGCCAGTCCAGCCATGTCCAGCCCCAAACAGACATTTTTTTTAACCCTTGATAAACCACAGTAATTATTGGAACGGCCTCTCCAAACGAGGTCGGCAATGGGAAGTAGTCACGACATGGGCCAGGGAAGATGGTGAGAAGATCAAAGAAGTTTGACTGATACAGGAGAAAAATGATATATAAAATGATATATAAACCTGACATAAACATAATCATTATATAAATTATATAGCAGTGACAAAAAGGTCGAAGATATTGAAGGCTTCCCTCCACTCCAGGACTATTCGCGGATGGCGCTCAACTGGTCCCTGCACTATGCGCCTCGGATATTCCTCGGATGGTCAGTTCAGATCATGTGAGTCATTCAAAATGGTTTATCACCAGGAAAAATACATGGTTTTTTCATCTGGTTTTATCACCATTTATCACCAGTTTACCATCTGGTTATGACTAACATAACCATGGAAAATCACCATGCTATTAATAGGTAAACCATCTATTTCTATGGGCCATCTATACCATAGCTATGTTAGATTACCAGAGGGCACATGGTTTATCATCAGTTTCCCCTTCTTCAAATTGCCATTTGGAGAAAAACAGACACACCAAATATCACATTTATCACCAAAGATGAATTGATGGTACCATGTTTATGGTGATTTTTCTGTGATATTTGGTATGTTTATCACCTATTTTATCCTATGAATATCACCTATTTATTGGCCATGGATGGTTTATCCATAGGATATGATGCTACCGATGCTACCAAGGCAGGAGCACTACTCTCCTGTGCCGGTGCTTTGCATTGGGGGATGCAACTGGCGGAGCTGGGCGTCCCGAAACGTAGTGACTACATGGGTCGGGTGCCCCAGATATCCCCAGATATCACCAGATATCACCAGATATCACCAGAGCAGTTGATGATGATCTTTTTGATATCACCAGATATCACCAGATATTTGGGACCTGATCTTTTTGGGCCAAAATGCGAGACTGTCGGCAGGTCTGTATTATTTGTGCCGCTTCAGTGGCCCTGCGGTGTATTCCTCAGAAAATCTTGTGGAAAAATATCCTGAAATATCGTGGAATTACATAACGATGGTTGGATTGGGATTATCCTGTAATATTGTCCTTGTAATTGAGATAATCCTGGATAATATGATCAATATTGATCAATGATAATGATAATGAAAAGTAATTATCAATGATAATTAGCTGCAATAGTATCATTGGATGGTTGGATTGGGTATCCAATTACCTGAAAAGTTACAACGATCAGGTCTTCGTCTTCTTCGGCTGGTTGGGCTCGGTGCTGACGACGGCCTTGCCAGTGGAGGAGCTGCCCAACATGTTGCGTTGACACGACTTTACCCTGGGAAAACGCTTGGGAAATGCTTGGGATATGGCCAGAAGGCTGGTGAAGTTCCAGCTTTCCAGGCATCGATGTGGCTCTTCACCGGCTTCTTTGGCCTGTTGAGTCATGAGCTCAGACATCGCTTCAACGACATCACGACTGCTGTCGCTGTCACCATGGGCGCCCAAGGTACTGATTTCCTGGCGGGGGCCTTTCGAGTCACGCCCCAAGAACCGGGGGGTGCTGGTGGGCTGGATATTCTCCCAGGTGAGTTGCCCATAGAACACCTGAATTGCATCAACATATTACTATTTAATGTATCTGTCTATATAACATGTTGCACATGTAGATATGAATCGATAATCCCCGTGTAGGCTATCTCTGATATATTAGATAATATTAGATAATATTAGATAATATTAGATAATATTAGATATGTCTTTATTCATGTCATGTCTATTGGTTGGTCTATTTCTATCAGATCCTCATCGATGTGGATCGTTGGACCCAGGTGGTCCCGGCCTATTGGTTCCGATGGCGCGCGGCCTTCAACGTGAGCGCCATGAGCTGCATCTTGGTGTTGCTGCTGAGCGAGCGCAACCTCTACCTGGGGCAAAAGCCCAAGATCCGCATGTAGAAAAAAAATGGGAAAAAGTGCCTTGAAATTACTGGTTAATGACTATCAATGGTTGATGGCCACATCCTAGAGGCAATGGATGTCAATAATCAATTATTAATAGTCTTTAATAGTTACCAGTCAATAATTACCTTCAAATTGGCAAAACTAGCTGCTGAAAATGATGGATGTTGATTCCCCCTCATGAGTTGAAAATCCATCGAAGAAGTGAAATATATACTATGGTATATATATATATTATACTGTATATACTTCCTGGCAAAGATTCAATCTGACAGAGAGATAAATCCAGTCGTTCCGATGGATGATAAAACATTGCCATTTTTGCTGCAGCATTTTCCACTCGGAATAACTCCAAAAACCTCCGACGGTCAACTGATGCAGCACCACAGATCAGAACTATCCTTTGATTTTAAGAAGTGTTTATTGTATCTTATTTTCCAGCCGATGTCACACATGGGCAAGGGCCAAATGTTTGATCAGACATGACCAAAACAGAAAAGCAGCCAAGCCGTTCTGAATTTCTTTCAACGATGCTTCATGATTTTGAGAAAATGTCGAATCCCGTTGTACAATCGGCAGGTGGGCATGGCCTTAAAGGTTTTCCCAGAAAACGTGTTTCAGTTTCGCCCCCTGAAGGTGCATCAAACCTTCAGAGCTGAACTGCGACAGTGCGTTCACACCTTAATTGCTACCCTCTGGTAAACTAACATAGCTATGGAAAATCACCATTTTTAATGGGTAAATCCACTATAAATGTGGTATTTTCAATAGCTATGTTAAATTACCAGAGGGTATATGTTTTTTCAGCACGGTTTTTACCATGTTCTCTTGGTTTCTACACGGAAATCCCTGCAGCACCAAGATGTTCCATTTGGCTCTGGCTTTTTCGGCCTTCAGCAGACCCACGACCTGCCAGGAGGGGCATGTGGATCTCATCATGATGGGATGGGCTCAACTCATGGGAAGGATGGGAAAGATGAAATGGAAATGGACTGTGAATGGAATGTGAATGGAATGTGGGATGGTTCCCCTCCTCTCACAATCTGGAATGTCTGAGTTTCAGGAATCCGATATGGCAGAGTTCCAAGAGTTTTCGTCTGAAACCCAGCCAATTGGATCTTGTTATCTGTCGCTGATGATTTTGATGCTGCGCTTGACACTATGACGATTGTTCGCAGGGCTTCTGCTGATCATTCTTGGCTCCTTGGCTGAACGTAGCAAAGTGTGAACCCCTTCGCATATTACCCTGGTTGGCGGTATCAAACACAGCAAACATATGCCAAAGATTTGGACTCAACTTGGTAACCATATTTTTCCAGTTCCATTTTGGCAGAAAGATGTTGCAGACTTTGGAGTTTCACCTTTGGGGTCCTGGAACCGGCACTGGCCCTGGTTGTTGCGAGGCTTCGCGACTTAGTCCCGGACCCCGAGACTGCGCAGCATGAGCCCAATCGCACCTCGCGACAGGCGACTGATCGTTTAAGGTGAGTTCACCCGGGCACAGCTGACTTTCCTTGGACCGTTTTTTGATATGTTGAACCAGGGCTACTTGTTGCTCCCAGCTACTAGAGGTAAATTATGGTAAATTACAGCCACAGGAGTGATCAATCGCCGACACCACCAGGTCCGTTCCGGGCACTATGTGAGGGTGAAGCCTACACCACTCCCGAAACCCAAACTGGTGGCGTGCTGCGGGCCTGATTTGAAAATGAGAATCCCCTGGTTTGAACTCTTTGCCACGGTTGGATGTTTGTTGGTTCGACAGTCATTTGGACCTATGCTTTTGATAACAACAATGATGATGATGATGATGATCATCATCATCATCATCATCATCATCATAATCATAATCATCATCATCATGATCATCATCATCAGGGGCACCACCATGCTTGACATTTGACTTGGTATAGAAAATCAGAGCAACAGCGCCAATAACCAGCTCCCCAGCCAGGTACAGTGAACGCATGGCCCAGGAGTTGAAACTCTCCAAAGTGGTGACCTCTGAGGTGCAGTGCGGAAAGGAGTCAGCATCTATCTGTCGGATATCATCCATATATCATCCATATGTTAAATATATCCACCTCTTATCCATATAATTTATTCATATAATTTATCCACATATGATCCATATATCATCCGAATGAGTTATCCATATAGTATCCATGTCATAGATTCATCATATTTTGCCCTGACAGCAGAACTCACAGCTTTGGCTCAAACAGAGCATCCCAAGAGGACATCCGGACCCACAGGCGGGGCCGAGGCCATCGCAGCACCAAGCGACACCTTAGCAACGAATTTGTTTGGGGCACCAGAGACTAGATATGTCATAAAAGATCTATGATATATGGATGATATATGGATGAGATATGATAGATATAAGTGCAGATATGTAATAAAAGATAAAGAATAAGGATAACGCAACGGAGTTTCCCTGTTTCATTGCAGGGTTCTGCACGTTGCCAGGAATGTCAGGGATGCGGCTGCCAGGGATATGGTTCCTTGCCATGCTGCTGGGAGGAGCTGCCAACAATTGATGGGTATACTGCAACATGTGTTTTTAATGGGGCTCATAAAAGATATATATACCATTATATACCAAGTAATTATGGGAAGTATATCCCATTATAATATATATCCCATTATATACCAGATATATATATATATACCATTATAATTATATACCAACATATGGCCTTTGCTTCCAAGTTCTGTCAAACTTTGCCGCAAGCATTGGATTTTGCGGTAGCACACTTCGCAGGAGAAGCGCTGAAGATGGAGCTGACGGACAGCAATTTCAAGAAGGCCCTGGAAGGTAAAAATGCCGGAGACTAAGACATGGACGAAGTGACGAAGTGACGAAGATCTTTGAAGTTCTTTGAAGTTTGATGATGGTGGTGACGATGATGGTAATGGTGATGGTGATGTTGGTTGATGTTTGATGTTTGATTGATGTTTGATTGGTGTTGATTGATGCTTGGTTCCTTGGAAAAGATATGAGGCCTTTGTCTTCTTCCAAGCACCTTGGTGTGGCTTGGCCCTCAGTCTCTATGGCAAAGATCGACTTGAGCAATGACCAACAGATACTGACATCCTTCTTGCTTGGTTTTTTTTTTCTGGGGTTAGACTCAATACCTGGTTTCTTGGGTGTTCCCATGACCCATTAGAAGGTGGAACCCCTATCCACAACGGACATCGCCCTTTCAGGGCACTGCAGAAAGTTGCAGCCCGAGTGACAGCCTCAACTTGGAGCGTGTTCGATGTCAGTGGTGAGGAAATCTCTACACCCGCCATGGGGATATCATCATCAAGTAGGGATCATGGATATCAACGGCCAAAATGTAGTGATAACTTTGTGAGTTTCGTAAAAGTAGAAACAGTTTTGAAACAGTTTGAAACTTGGATGGGTCTCATAGAAAATTGGATCTCCAGAGTTTATGAACCCAGGTGGGATCAGATGGCCAAACTCTATGCGGACACGCCCAACGTGATCATCGGACAGGTGGATTGCACTGGAAGTGGACAGGAGACCCAGAAACCAGCAGCACGTTGAGCACGTTGAGAGTGAAGTGCTGTGGATCACAGATGGAGATGGTTTCAGTTGATAAGTATGATTTATTCAATACAATTCCATACATATTCCATACATATCCCATACATATCCCATACATATCCCATACACATTCCATATGATCCCATATATATCCCATATGATCCAAGTCATATCCCAATCTCCCCATCAATCACTGAGGTCAAGGTTTCTGCGGCGAGAACCAGGTCCAGGGTTATCCCACGCTGAAGCTCTGGAAGGACGGCAAGATGTCGGACTACAACGGCGGCCGGGACTTCAACTCCCTGAAACGAGAGGCGAAACGGGACTTCATCGCCATGGGAATGCTATGGGATGGGGGATGGGTGGCTGTGGAATGCTTGAAAACTATGGTTTTTGTTGGAAAAAATAATGATCATTAGACTTATAATGATTATGTTAGATAATATTATTAGATCAATCAATAACTATCTGATAGTAATGATGTTTGTTGGATCATCTGATTAGATACATATAATGGATATCAGAGGCCGAATGATCTGATCGCCGGAATGCTGATCTGATTGGTGATGTTTGCTGAATGCTTCAAACTATGGTAACCATAGGAATTTAATGATCATTAGACCTATAATGATTATACACCTAATCTTCTTGATGTTGCTGTTGAATGTTGAATGTTGATAATATTGTTAAGGTTGATATGTTCTTCATTCATCGGTTTCAACAGGTCGAGAAGAAGTTGGACCCTCGACCCGCATGCAGCTTGGAATCCAAGGCCCCTGTCGTTCCTTCCCGTCGTTTCAGATACCGTGGGCTCAGTGGGCTCCTCCCAACCATCATCATCACCATCATCATCCTGCCAGGATGCCTGCAAACCAGAGGACACAGCGGCAGCTGCTGACATTTTTGAAGGACACAACTCACCACGTGCGCCATGTGATGGCCATGCCCACGTGAGGATCTGAAAGTGCTGGAAGAGAGTGAGAAGATGACCAAGGCCATCTGAATCCTCTGAGCTGCTGACCCCAAGCGAAGTTTCTTATCCTGTAACATGTATGACCCAAAGTACATCATCAATCAAGTGATATATATATAATATGTATATATATATATATACATACATACATACATACATACAGATATACATATGATTTATATGTCAACAAAGTAACAAAGTGATATAGGTTTTGATATACACATCTAATCCATAACATTTCTTCATGGCACTGACGTCCCAGGCGGAGCGCGCTGCGAAGATCAAAACCGTGCAGAAGGAAATCGCGGACGCCAAAACCGAAGCCGCGGAGCTGGAGAAAAAGGCCAAGAGGCGCCAGCCGTCCATGTCATGGTCAAAATAAGGGGAAAATCATAGGTATGTATATTATACATATATATATAGTTATATAGTTATATAGTTGTATAGTTATATAGTTATATAGTGTAAGATATATAGATATATGGATGTATAGTTATATAGTTTATATAGATATATAGATATATGGCTATATAGATATATAGATATATAGACTAGATATAGTAATTAATGATATAAACTGAGCGGATGATAATCAATATAACTGTGATATAATGGGGAGAATAATGGGAAAAACATGGTTGTACTTCATGGATATTTCATTTACTATTGGGATATAAACCAAGAGTGCAGCCGGCAGCGTCACAGCCAGGAGACTTGCGATTGATATCATATTAATATCATGACAAATAGCAAGGTTAATAGTCGTTATGTCACAACCCCTGTATGGATACTTTTAAGTGTTCATGACCAGAGAAATCATGACAGCCATATCAGCCAAAAAGTCCAGAACTGAGGTTCGTATCATGTCTGGGGTTGATGTACCATGCAATAACTAGTGTAGGGGAAAGAAATTAGGGATACAGCAAAGAATGGCTTGGAAAACCTTACATTTTGAATGGGAAAATCATGAGAACAGGTGGAAAAATGGGTCCAAAAACTTCTCATTTTCCAGCCTGACAGCTGAGTCTCCCTCTGCCGACTGGTGACTGGCCGAGGCTCACTGAATCCTTAGACTTGATCAAGGCCGGTGGTCAGACCGTGGAAAAGGTGGAACAGCTCCTCAACGACGAAGACTGGCGCGCCCATTGTGAGGCCCGCCTAACGTGCCCGTTGGGACAGCCATGATGTGATGAACATCCGAATATCCAATGAATATCCAATGAACATCCAATCTCCACAACCATGAACCATGTCTATGAGTTGTTCCCATTTCTCTTTGTCCAGGGCCGCACTTGTGTAGTCGCCTTCCTCCCACACATCTTTGACGATGGAGCCGCCGGCCGCAATGAGAAGATTAAGGTGGGGACAATCAGCAGATTCCGCAGATTTTGATGGTTTCGTCCTTTCAAATAGGGGATAACTACGATAACTATGTGCAACACCCCCAAGATATGGCTATGTTATCCCCCAACTTGAGGTATTAAGGCTGTTTTAGTGGAGAAAATGATGTTCGGAACGGGATGGAATTTGGTTGTAGCCAGTGGGACGAAGCCGCATCACATCTGCCAGGTGTTGGATCAGATCTTGAAAGATACCAAGAAGGACCAACACACCGCAGATTCGGAAAATCTCAGTTCTGGATGAAGATTGAAAATCTAAAAAGTGTACCTCAGTGTAATCATATGTAATCTAAGTATATCTAAGTGCCTAAGCGTATTGTCTTTTTCATCAGTTTCATGTTCAGGATGGCAAGTCCGTGGGCTTCATGTGGAGTCAAGGAGGGGATCAGTTCGAATTGGAGGAGGCCCATGGTGCCAGATGTCCATGAATTCCATGGATCATCCCATCATCGATGCAGTGGATGAAAGCAGTTGATTTTTCTGGAAATTCTACTGTTTTTCGATGTTTTATATGTTTTTATATGTCAAACTATGGGCTTGTAGCTTGGTTTGTTGGGAAAGATCATTGACATGACAATTTGATCCATCCATTTGAAAAAAAAAATCGCTGTTTTTCTCATCACCACGACTTGTGGATTCGTCGATTCGTCGACGATTCGTGGTAGGCACTGGGGCTTCAATTCGGTTTCCCAGCAGTACCGGCCTGAGATACGGCGCAAAACATCGCCGCGCTGTGTCAAGCTCTGTTTGCGCTCAGGTGATCGCGGTGAATTTTGGAAAGGCGAGAAATTTCGAATGTCTTGGAAGATACGCGGATGATAGGAATCTGAAACATTGACGTCCTGTAGGATGCAACGATGGCTGTATTGAATAGCGACAGTAGCTCGGCACTGTTTGTTTTCTGCAGGGACGCTTCGGTGTCGGAGTCTCAGTTGTCTCAAGTGCCTCAGAACGATGACCTGTTCATCAACAACAAATGCTTCCAGGCCCGATTGATGTTTGATTTGCTCAGGTGCATCGAGGAACCTTCGACAAGGATTCCGTGTCGCAGTTTTTGACCTCGCTCTCCCGGGGTGGCACACCGTGCGGAACTCAGCAACAGACATGATCCGATTTTCTGATCACAGTAGAAACACTGCAAGGGAAAAGCCAAGAGATATGTCATGATAGCCATATCTCTAGTTACTTCAGTCATATCTAGTCATGATCATGATACTAGTTCCTACATGTTCCTACTGGTTACTATAGTCATATCTAGTCATATCTAGTTATATCTAATCATGATATCAGTGTGCTGCGCAGGTTGGCACCTTACCCAGCCAGTGCAAAGGCGGTCAAGGCAGATCCTTGGGATGGAAAGGCCTGGCGCTGTGTCCCTGTCTGCTGGCTTGGGAGCTGCAGTGAAATCCACAAGATGAGAAAATCCATGGGAAAATTGGTAAAAATATCTGGGAAAATATGAAAATATGATATGTTTCATCTCTTTCAGATCACATTCTTCACATTCATAGTGATATTTATATCCAACTATTTCATTGTTCACAATCATTTTCATATCTCCAGTATTTAAACCCTGCTTCTTTTGTAGGACACCATGACTTCACCATGACTTCACCAATCCACGCTGCGCAGGATGGCGTTCCCCCTGTAGAGGAAGACCTCTGAGGTCGAACTGACACACAAATCATCACAAGATGAGAGAATCTATGGGAAAATCTATGGGAAAATATAAAAATATGATGGGAAAGTTCCAACTTTTACGGCACAAATTACTAGAGAAAGATCTGCTCGGACCCGTTAGACTGCAAGAATCATCAACCCGCAGAATATATTACGATAGAGTACAATCGATCAAAATACATTGGCAAATGGTTTCACATTGTAAGTTGACACAAAGACAGCTGTTGACTTAGCACGTTCCGAGCCAGTTTTGCGCAGGCGCCTCGGCTGTTGCGAAACAGTTTCCAGCGCATGACACAGCGACGCGTCGCTGTGTACCGTGCGCAATGCTCTAAAACTGAGCAGAAAAACCTGACCCGACCGGAGACCAAAACAGAAAACGACAGCAGTTGCAGATCGAAATAGGACTGTCATATCATATAGTTTCATCATTCAAATCAAAATACATGTCGAGCTGCATATCGAATCACGAAGTTGGTATGTTGATGATGTTGGAAGCTTCACAACACACTTGGCAAAGTGCACAAACTGCAGAATTGGCATTGCCGAAAGAGGCATTCTTGCGCTTCTTCTCGGGAGATGTTGACGCCATTGAGGCATGATTTGTTTGATCCAGCGGTGAGTTCCCTGTGACATATGTTGGCTTGGAACCAAAGACCAATAAACGGAAGCCACTACCATGGTATAACTGTAGAACCAATTGTAGATATTGGTATAACTACCATGGTTATATATATATATAGAGATATCGTTTTGATTTGTTTTGATAGTATGAGTAACACAACCCAGTAGCATCCTAGCCGTTGACTCCAGGGCTTTGATAGCTGGGCGACGCCCTATGCGCTGTCGATCTATGGCCAGGTGCAAAACAGATGCTTACTCGGGGGTGTATCCCAGTTGGTATGTGGTAAGACATCGACACGGCTAAAAAAAAAACATTATGAAAATCTATAGTTATCAATTTATGCCATGTTATACCCGAAGTATGGTTGATATATGACTTATATGTGGGTGATGCACTTTATACCTGGGACGCACATCAAAATTCCTCGATGCAAATCTTTGAACGTCAGGAGATGTACGACAACTGTCCCTTCAAAAACGGCAACGGCTATGGCGATGGCCGCGCTTTGTCCATCGGTGAGGTGGTCATTGAAGGTGTCAGAGTGGTCGGGTGAGGAATGAAGAAACGAATTGATGATGAGTTGGTGATGAGTTTCAGTGAATCCAGTGGAAAAAACACTGTAATGTTGGGTCATGTTTATAGTTTGATTTCCCCTGTTAAATGTCTGATGTTGTTTAATGTTGTTGATATATCTGGTGACTCTGACAGCCGCCACGTATCACAGTGCAGATGAACCTTGGTGATGGCAGGACGGCGATGGGAGATGCAGCTGAAAGGAGGTGGCACGACACCATTTTGCCCCTCGGAGAAAGTCATAAGTTGCTTGGAGGTTTGGTGATATGTTGGGTAAATCCACTCAAAATGGCTGTTTAATGACTGGTTGGTGGTTCGGAACCATGGAATTTTATGACGTTCCATATATTGGGAATGTCATTTCATCCCAACTGACTAATAACTCCATCATTTTTCAGAGGGGTTGAAACTCAACCACCAACCAGTAGAAAGTCTCCTGTCCTTCACATAACTTGATTTCCAATCTGGGGCTTCACCAAGCCACGCGAGTCCTTAAGATTGGGACTCTGTTCAGCCGTGATCCGGATGGAACAATCTGAACATTGAACATGTATCATGTTTGATTTTCCAGATGAACTCAACATACTAAACATAACTTGACCAAAATTGGTTCCGAACCCCAAATCCCACTCTCATCATCTCTTATCCATCGGATTTCTGACTAAATCATCCAATATTTCAAAAAAAAACAATATTTCAAAACATTTGGGAACCATTTTCCCCATATTTTCCCATATTTTCCCCATTTGTTCGATGGGATTTTGCTCCCTTCCATTGGGTCACCATCAAGGCCGCAGCGCCGATGGCCGTGCGGTGCTGCGCTCCAGTGTCCGAGAGTTCTTGGTCTCGGAGGCAGCGAGTTCGTTTGGAAAACGCCCAGGATTTCATGGGAAAAAGATGGGAAATTTTCCTCAGAAAATCATCAGCTGGGAAATTTTGGAGGTTTGGAGAATGTGCAGAGACACAGAGATTGATGATTGAAAAAGGATGAAGATTGTGATAAAGATTGATGAAGATTGATGATTGATGATTGATGATAAAGATTGATAAAGGATACACGGATACACCCTTTTTCATGATGCAATTGATGTCTCCGATTGATAGAAGATGGGGTTGTTATCCCTTTTATTTTCCAATCTGTATCTCTGTATGGGAACGGACAAATGTACAACTTCATGGACAAATAATCTCGTTACTTGAAATTGTAATATATGAATTTGTTTGATGGTCAACAAAAATAATGATTTTATTTTCATCCTGATCATCCTGATGAGAATGAGAAGAACGACAATGATGATAATGATGACCATGATAATAGCTCACAAACTGATACTGACGGTAGTGATGATACTAAATGATACTATGATGCTAGCAAATATGAGCATCAAAATCTGTGAAGCAACAGGAATGGGACATCAAAAACACCAGTTGTCACACGTGTCGACATGTCACAGGCGATGCATGCCCTGGGAGTCAGCACCACGCGTGCCTTGTCCCTGATCGTTTCGGAGGAGGAAACGGTCGACCGACCTTGGTAGGAACCTTGGAACCCACGTTGAACGACTGAGTGGTTGAGTGATAGTATCCTCTGGTTAACGGTCTGCCATGGAAAATGGCCCATAGAAATAGATGATTATAGATGGTTTACCTATGAAAAATGATGATTTTCCATGGTTATGTTAAATAGCCAGATGGTAACAGCCATTGATGACGACAGTGAGGAAAGCTGTAAGGACACTTTATGGACTGAGGTACGACCAAAGTAAGACGAGACCGGAGGTGAACGAAGCCTTCCTTGTTGAGGCTCAAAGCTGACATGAAGTGACGATGGGAAACAGGTGGCATCCCATCCAGCCAGGTGGCACCCCAGTTGGCCGATGCACCTTCGGAGTTGAAGCAGATGGCTATCGTAGCGACACCCAGAAATCCATGAGATGCCGGAAGAAATTGGCATTTTTTTGGAATTTGATTCTATCCTGGTGATTTTCACCATTCATTCATATCTTTCATATCTTTCATATTAAGATATATTAAGCATATATTAAGCTTGCTGGATATTTGCTGTTCTGGGTCTTAAAGTTCAGCCTGAGGCACAGCTTCGCTCCCAGCTGCGAAATCCCGACCGACTCCAAACGGAGCAAATGATGAAGAGATGGCCGTACCATGTCGTTTTGGATGTGTTGGTGATATGTTGGGTAAATCCACTAAAAATTGCTGTTTAATGACTGGTTGGTGGTTTGGAACCATCGAATTTTATGACTTTCCATATATTGGGAATGTCATTTCATCCCAACTGACTAATAACTCCATCATTCGTCAGAGGGGTTGAAACTCAACCACCAACCAGATATCGTTGTGTATATGCAATGATATCATGATATATCATGTAAACTATGACATATATATATATATTTGATACAACTGACTATATTATGAGTGTATGTAGTTGATCCTGTTTGCAAGGGGAGTTCACGGGGAATATAACCAGCAGAATACAGTAATGAAGTACATCATATGTTCTTCCGGGAATTAATGGGCTACATACATGTATATACATATATAATATGTGTGTAAACAACCTATAATCTCATCCCCTAATATTCAACACCATCGTATGGTCCCAACTATGTGTAAGCCCCCTCTTTAACCATGGTATGAGGCATATAAACAACATACCCCTTCCAGAAAACCAACATTGTCATGGAAAATCCGCATTTCAAATAGTGTATGAACACCAAATGGGGCATCTATACCACTTCGCAAAGTCTAAGTTTACCAAGGGGTACCCAACAAAAAATGGTGGCTTTTCCCACCTCCAGGAGAAGTGTGCCATCTGTTGTCGCGTGGCACCTTCCTTTCTGCGTGTGGGACATTTGGAACTCCATGGCCCGGGCGCTCGAAATCTGAAAACAACGGCGATGTTTTGCTCACTTTTTGGGGGAAAAAAACTGATAGAAGTTGTAGCAAAGCAGATTTCTAGCAATTCATGGATATATATATATGTGTGTGTGTGTTGGTTGGTGTTGATTGCGACAAGTTGATGCAATTTGGGAAGTGTCTTTGGTGGTTTTTCGAGCCAATAGAGTCGCCAAATTGGAGAGATCTTGGTATGTCCATGATAGAACTATGGAACCAAAGTAGATAGATAGAATCAATCGATGCAAAGCACGTGCGAAGAATGCTGTAGGACCAGGACCAAATCAACTCAACACCGGACACAACATTGACATACTTTCCCCAGAAAGTTGCCGGCTCTCAAACTGACATGTACGATAAAACGGTATGAATTGAGTTTTGAATTGTCTTCCATTGATGGTACCAGAAACTTTAATCACCAGAAATTGGAAGAAATGAACCCAATAGGCTAACGGTTAGCGAAATTGAGGCCGCCGAGCAAGGAGAAGTGCAAGAGATAGTGAGCCTTTCCAACAGCTAGGCCGGGAACTTGGGGAAACAACCAGAACCCACTGTGAAAATCTGTGAAATCAACGGGCATCATGGAAATTCTATGAAAACCTATGAAAACCCTGTGAAAACTGGTAATAGCAGGTATTATCGGCTTCTAGTTGGGCGTTTTGATTGTGGAAGGTAGAATGGTTTGGCTGCACGCCTCAAGTTTCCATCGGTGTGCTTTGGACCGTGGCAGAACTCATCGTGAAGCACGCCCTGAAGCGGGAGTCAGCCACTAAGGTGTTGCCTAAGAGCAGTAAAAATGGCAGTGAATAAATTCCAATTGTGGTGGTTTTTCATGGCTGATTGTGGATGTCAATTCAGAACATGTCAATCCCGACATGTCCAATCCTGTATCCTGAAGCTATGCGTCATGTGATTGGTCGTTTGGATTCTCCTTTCAATTGTCCTCCCAGTCTGAATCGAAGGTACTCCGATGTGGATGACCCAACTGTCGACCTCGAGCAAAGAATCTTGAGGATGATCCAGGAATTTGCCAAGCGCTTGAGCAAACTCATGGCAGATTGGCTCAGAGTCGGGTGCCCCTGTGGCCAGTGGATGGTGAGTTCACATGACAGTTGGCGAGTTGATGTCGGGAGGTACTGCCAGGGCAATTTCAACTCTGACAACTGCCTGATTGCCAGCAACCCAGCAACCCTGTGAACTCAACGGGTCACTTGACACCTGCCCGACATACAGTGAATCTTCCAAAGGTGTGCTGTTCAAATTCTGTTTATCAAAAGTTGAAACAACACTGAACACTTACTTCACAGGTATTTCGTGATTTGTTATGATATGTCTTTGATTTCACGTTCAAACTTTCCGTATTTCCGTAGGCGGGTCGCACCATGGCCGCACTCTCGGAACGGCGTTACCGCCAGTTGCCGAAGTTCAACATGTCGTTCTCCGTGCCGAGGACTATGGACCTTTCGGCTTCATGGAGAAGTGCCCCAGAATTTGTCGAGAAAGTCTTTGAGTTGTTCTTTCGAGACTCTGTGAAGTTTCTGCATTTGATGATTTGATGGTACCAGGTATGACCCGCTTTGGAATATGTGGGTTGGTGGAGGCACGGTTGATTCGCAAAAGAATTTGAACAGCTTCCACTTGGAAATGTGAAATCCTTCCTCGATGCCTTAGCAAATCACTTCAGTACTCTTCAGATCTCTTCAGTTTTTTGCCAGTCGAAAGACTGGAAAGCCAGGTGAACATTTTGCCTTCATGAACCAGCCCAAGGACGGAATGCTGATGGCCGAACAGCTGCTGTTCCACAGATCGCCATTGTTCGTTAATCTTGATATCGCATGTGACCAGGCCGCGCAAAAGAACTTTGTGAGTTTTGTAAAGGCCAGGCGTGGGAACGATGGTTTTCGAAAGAGATGTTCCAAAATTGGTATAGCATACGTCAATATGTTAGCACATGGAAAAATAAAATGGAAACAATCTAAAACGATCATGTGATTTGGAGGTTTCAAATAAGACGAGACCCCATTTGAAAGATGATCTACGGCCTTGTCGGCGTTGGAGAAAAAGAAGGATGTGTCTAAAAAGAAGTATCCTTGATTCACTGGCTATTGTTGGGAAAATGCTGATTAACCATCAAAATTTGGTTCCAATACTTTTCGGGCAATCATGTGAACTCTTAGACTTTCCATTTGGAACTTAAGTCCCAACTGTCAATCCATGAACATCACCATCTAAGCTCCTGGAAGGTGCCCAACTCCATAGCTAAGTTAGTGCAAGTAACTCCAATTTCACAAGGGTTAATGGCAGTTTCTGGTGAGTATAACTATAGTAACTCTAGTTCATTGCCCTTATAGCATCAGTAAACCCTCATAAACTATATTATAGTTTTTGGTGATAAACTATGGTTTAATCATCATCAACCTAGCCATGCTTCAAACTTTCAAACTATGGGCGTAACCATATATTAAAGGTTAATAGTATTTATATATATATATTATCTATGGGATACTATGGGTTAATCATTCTATGACCTTATGACCCTATGGTGGTTGTACACCCCTGCGAGGCGTTGCAGCCACTGCTGTCCCCAGCAGCACAACAGGAGGCGCAACGAGAGGTGGATGGCTTTGAGGCGCGAATTTCCGATTTCGCCTGGCAAAAGAATCCACCATGAAAAATCATGGAAAATCATATGAAAATATGGAAAATTGCATGGAAAAATATAGAAAGGTTGAAGTCACAAAACTTAACAAAACATGATAATGATAATGATGATAATGATGATCCATGATCCGGTGAGTCAAAGATCGGATTTTTTCTGCTTTTGAAGATTTAAAAAAAAACAACATCAATCAGCATCAGCATCAGCTGCCTTCGCAGGAGTTGTGCCAACGAATCTGCGGCGAGCACTGTTGGCGACCCAAACTCGGGCTCAGCCGCTGGGATTCCGAGGCTCGGACGACGTTCGGATGACATGGCGATGCGATGTCAGCGAAGTCAGCGATGCGTCACATGGAAAAAAAAACATGTCCTGTTCGTTGAAAAATAGTCGGGATCCAAATCAGATCAAATCACTTTAATTGAGGTTTATCACTTTGAAGAAACTTTTGATATATGTTCACATGAAATACTTCATGATATTTGATATGTCATGAGTCATGATGTTTGAAAATGTTCGATTTGAACTGAACTGAAGCACAAGCAGTTCCATCTCCGCGTCCAGGGGCAAGAACTCTTCCAAGATCTGGAAGAACTCATGGCAGAAAGTCACTTGGAGCCAATCCAACCCATCCAACATGAAAAGTCGTCGACTGGACAAAATTGAGTTTTAATGTTCACAAAACTCACAGAAAAAATGGAAAGATGATCTAGGGTGATTTTATGGCGGTCTTGTTTTTATGATGGACATTTTCCTCCCTGATTTTGCTCGATCTCGATTCTCAGTTCGATCTTTTGACTTCCCGTTTAGTTGCTGACTGTCGTCCGTTCTGAAATCAGTGAATGTTCATCATATGTTTTTCTGCAATGAGGTTCCATTGATTACACCATTTTTTGGCGACAGCTGGCAATGCTGCCAGAGAACACCGATGCTTTGCGGCCTGCTTTCTACTCATCACTGCCAGTAGAGCGACGCTTGGGCTGCAATTGCTATATGTTTAACTGACATTCCGATGGCTGTTTGATAATTTTTAGGAGAAGCGTATTCTTTGCTGCTAGTTGTTGTCCTCCCTGGTTTCCTGCGTTGCTTCATGTTTGAGATTGAGTGCTCAATTCAGCGCATTCGTTTTGCTTGATGTTGCTTTGAAGCCATGTTCATGTGTTAAGAAGAAAGTACAATTACAACAAAGCTCAAGTAAATTTATGAATTTCTCTATCATGTCATAACATGATGATAACAGCTTTATCATCACATTTTTCAGATATCATGTCATGATAACATTTTTATCAAAGCAGAAAACCATCGAAAAAAACCAGGGGAGCAACGCTGGACCACTTGGCTTCAGCGCTGGCATCGCTGCTCGCCGGACGCTGTGCTGATGCGGCGCACGTCGCCGAAGTTCGTGCCGCGCGAGTGGATGCTGGTGGAGGTGGCGTAACTGGGGGAAATCCCGTGGGGATGCCATGCTGATCCTCAGATGTATAGATATGTATGTATAGGCTTTATATGGGTTTCTAGTGAATGAAACTTCATGGGGATATCAGATGATATCAGATGATATCAAATGATCATGAGAATTTTAGGGCTTCTCGATGTTTTTAGTGGGTGAATGAAGCTTTGTACCAGGATCACAATCAGATTCTGATGATTTCTGATGATCACTTTAAAGATCATTGAATCTATACTTTCAGGATACCCTCTGGTAAACATACAAAAAACTATGGAAAATCACCATGTTTAATGGGAAAATCAACTATACATGGCCATTTTCAATAGCTATGTTAAATTACCAGAGGGTAGTCAGATTTATGAATAGTTGTAGTGAGTTAACAAGGATCTATACCTACACTCTGATCGTTATGATGGGTTTTTGTGAGATCGCTTCAACTTCGGAATCCTCAGATCGTATCTGGGGGTATAATCAGATTGATGATATATAGTGGATAGTTGACTGGCTGAATTTTGAGTTGATCATCAGATCTATCTCAAGAATTGAGTTCATGTGCTTATTCAACTGGGATTTAAGAAAAGGTTCTGGGTGGTAACAAAGAAGTGGCAAAAAAAAATGGTACATCATGATCGGATATAGCCTCACAAGAGCTTCAAAGAAGCAGAGATCATGGGAGTTAGAACACCACTTGATGTGAAACAGATTCTTCGTTCTGGATCCTCGGCATTCAGCCGGACGGACTGCCGGACTTTGTGTCAGGCATACGAAGCTGCACAGAAAGGCCCGCTGCAGCAGTGATTTGCATCAACTGGTACCAGCAACCAATCTTCAGCAGACATTTGGATCATTTTTTTCATAACAGAAATTGGAACAGTAAACACTACTACAAAATACTACAAATCTCCAGAAATCGCCATATCCAACCACCAATATCAGGTGCCCAGTATATCAACATCTGCCAGGTGATTTCAGCGTTGTGGAGACGCTCCAACAGCTCTTCGCCTCGCCCTTCGACGAGCACTCGGCTGAAGCCAGATATTTCCAGAAGGCGGAACAACGTGGGGAAGGACCTCGGGAGATCCGCCAGAACTTCTGGTTTTTGGCTCACCCATATGGGTGTGTCTGAAAATGTCGTGTACCCCTAAAACCAATGGTTAATGATCATTATCCCTATTAAATGGCTATAATTGGGAATATAGCCTATTTTCAGACAAACCCATATTTTTTGTGTCAGTGATCCAAGAAACTTGAGTGCCTTGCCCCCCTCTAGTATTCATTTCAGTGAAAAATCCCTTCTATGCTATTTACATCATTCAGATACACAGTATCTATAATATAAGTTATACATATAGTACTAATATGCTACAGTACTATATATCTATACATATACATCATATATATATATTATGGTGTATATGAATGATATGGACATATATAGATCATGTATAGCCATATATTTACCATATATGGTACATCTTCATATGGTTCATCTATAGCTATAGCCATATGGGCCCTTTCGTTCGACCAATCACTGCTGTGAGGCACCTCCCAAGGTGGAGAACCTCGGGGGGGTCGCCTTCATGAGCTGATCTTCGTAGTGCCAAATCTGGTGATTTGCAGCACCGCAATTGGCGAAATGGTGGAGTTTTAGGGCTGGAAACTGAGAAAAATGGTAGAAAATGGTGGAAAATGGTGGATAGGATGGTGGAAACCTATAATTTTAATGGTGGAAACTGAGAAAAATGGTGGAAACCCTTTGGAAACTCAGAAAAATAGGGATGGAAACTCAACTGACATAGAGAGTTCTTTGATGTTTTTTGGGATAGGTATTGATGGTTTCATGGGCTTTGGGGGCTTTGATCAGTACATTTTGTGACCAGCGGCAGTTCTGGGAAATTTGTAAATTTGACAACCGACTACAGATTTGACAAAGATATGAGAGAATGTGGAAGGAGACAAAAGCATGCTATGACCAAAGATAAGTTCATCAAAAGAGGGAGTCGGTGCTGCTTTTCAGATTTGGCATGTTTTCAAGAGTTTCTCCGGGCCTTTTCCTACCAGTGAAAGAGATGTTGCAGAGTGTAAACGTTGAAGATGCTTTGGTTATTTGCACTCATGATGACTCATGGAACCATACAGTACCATACAGATACACCATTTGGTACACAGCTTGAAATGGAATTCCCTGGTCACTTCTCTTTTCGTGGGAAAGATCCCAGCTGCACCGACCGCTGACATGGTGAAGCACTGTGGCACTGCGCCACACTGCTGAGTTTCCGTCGGACGATCGGCGCAGAGTGCATCCGTCGAGTGATTGAAAATGATGAAAAGTGCAAGAGTTCTCTCCACTTTTGCCGTTAAATGTCAGTTTAATGATGTTAAATGTCAGTTACCCCATGATACAAGTTACAAGTCATTTTTGGCGATGCCGGTGTTTGCTGTGTTGCCCCATTGCTGGAAGACTTGCTGCATCTCCGCAGCCTTGAAGCCATGCCGCGCATCTACGCGCCCTTGAAGCCGCGCGGCAGAAGCACGCCCCGAAAAGATGGCGTGGAGGAGATGATTTCGGCCGCGAATCCTCTCTACGGACAAGGCACTCACCGGACCAACCAATGTGCCATGGCAGATGTCGGGCACATTCGATGGCTTTCTGGCAGTTTCTCACCGAAATACCGGGGTCCAAACCCGTCCAACACCGTCGTGAAAAAAAAGGGAGAAATGATGAAGATCCATAAGCAAGTATTTTCACCACTGGGCTCTGACGGTTTCACGGTGATGTTCACCGTTGGCGAAGAACACGGTTTTGATGCCGAGGCAGAGAGACGTTGCAGACTCCTGGCCCTGGAGCTTACAGGTGCGACGTGACCAGCAGATGTCTATGTGGTATATTGTGACATGGTGAATTCTGGTGAATTCTGGTGATCTGTTGTTTTTGTTGTGATGTTAGGTGGGGAGTTGTGATATCGGCAGATGTTTGGTGATGTCTTCAGTTTTTTCTTCACGTTTCGTTCCCTGTACATTCCTTTAATTCCTTCACGGGAAGGCTTCGTTGCAAGTGGCATCAAGCTACGATTTCAGGCAGCTCGCATCATTTCCGGTGAAGGATGAGATCAACAGCAGAGCTCTCAGAGAAGGGAATTGCGTTGCCGCCCAGCTGTTGCCAGATCCGAAAAGGGAGACTGAACAGATCTAAACAGTTCAAGATATTTTGAGGAAATGTGAGTGAAAATGAGTTGGTTTCTCCATCCTGCACTAGATTGACAGTACAGAAAGATGTTTTTTTGCAGATGGGAAACCTGATAAGTCTGATATTTTTCACAGTGGGATTTTCCTTTTGGAGAAGACGCCATTTTGAATTCCAACTGGTGTATTGCTCTGGAGCTTTGAGTTTTTGCCAATATGATTACATCTCTTCCTTAGATTCCTTAGTTATATATGATGTATTTATAGTATATAGTTTATCTTCATGACATGTCAGATTCACCATCTGTCATCATTTTGATGTATTTCCATCGCTATCTTCACCCGAGGCAATGCACAAATCTTCCCACGAGCTCCCCGTGGTTTGTTAAGCGGCCGAGGTGGGACACTGTCACTGTCAAGCGGTCACAAGGGGAGGGTCCTCCAGTGCCATGTCCAACTGCCAAGCTTCATTCCATTCCATTATGTAATGATGTAATGATGTAAAAATTGATCCGTTTGAGTTTTCAGAGGTTGATGGCAATACAGGTTTCTGTCACAGATCCATCCGATAAATGCCCTGGAAGTCCTGGCTTAGTGGCTGATCTTTTCAGGGCACTCTGGCTATCGGTACGGCCAACATGTTAGTCCGTCCCATTGTGACAGTAGTAATAAGTCTATATCCAAAATCACTTCAAACCCTAATCAGCAAAGATTTCTGTATAGATAGATTAGATTAGATTAGGCTAGATAGATACATAGATACGATAGATTAATATAGATAGATTAATATAGATTAGATTAGATTAGATTAGATAGATACATAGATACGATAGACTAATATAGATAGATTAATATAGATAGATTAGATTAGATTAGATAGATACATAGATACGATAGATTAATATAGATAGATTAATATAGATAGGTTAATATAGATAGATAAATATAGATAGATTAACAAATTTAGATAGGTTAACAAATATAGATAGATAGACAAATATAGATAGGTTAACAAATATAGATAGACAGACAAATATAGATAGATAGATAGATAGATAGACAAATATAGATAGAATAGACAAATATAGATAGATTGACAAATATAGATAGATTGACAAATATGGATAGATAGTGTGAATGGCCTAAGCCAAACCCACTGGTAGCACCTCAACAGCAAAAGTGGCGGTCACTTTTCCCACAACCACCAAGCTCCAAGGTTCTGCCTTCACAAGCAGGAGAAAGGTCTGTGATTCGGCTCCCTAAGCCTTCCAAGATTTCCAGCTGATACCCTGAGCAGCTATTTGGAGGACGGCCACGTCCAAAAGGTTTCCAAGATGGCTAAAGCACTGAATCCCTACCCTGATCCCTCTCCTATGTGGGCTCCCAGAGCCAAAGTGCTATGGAACGAACATCCCCTGATGTTTCTGGTTGTTGCTGGATATCTCTGAACGGGATCATCTGTCTAAAGCCTTGCAAGGAAGAGATGACATGGATACTGCAACGAAATGATTCACACTCCCAAATTTCCAAAGAAAAATTGAAATCTACATCATTCGTTGCAGTCGATGTTGGCATCTCGTTGGTTTTCGCTTCGAAGCCACTTGAGTCTGTTTCTTGTTGAGGCTCGGCTTTTCAAAACTTCCAGCTCATCATGTAGCTTATAGCGACCCAACTGCAAAGTTTCACGAAGAAAAACATTTTCCATGATTTTGGTGAGGCTGTCTGCCAATTGTGCTCCACTATGAACCCATCTAAGGGAAACTCCCTCTGATAGGTAATCCTTGATGGATCTGGCATTCAATTGTGTTCGAAATTCGGTGCAATTTGGCATGGCTGTACGAGTGACAAGATCAAACAGGGACTTGCAATCTGTAGCGGTGATACATTCTGTTGGGTTTTGAGCTTTGTAAGTTGCCGTTGAAAAAGTGGTTGGTAAAGTTTTCAATGTTGTTGACGGTTGTTTCCAATTGATACTGGTGTCGAGAAGCCATGCCCAGCAAAGTCTCATCCATGACAGCTGATCCAGAACGGAATTTAAAGATACCGTCTCTGCAGCCAACGTGCTTGTGACCACTCTTTGTATCTTTTTACAACCCCATGCAAGTGGACTCACAGGGCATGATATGTTCTTCTCAATATCCTTATGGGTACCCATAATGATCATCCCAGTATGCGAATTTGGATTGGTTTTGGAAGCGAATGAGGCATCGGAAAAGGCTAGAAATCGAAAGTCAGTGACTGGTATTGATTGTATTTTGATAGTGGTCTCGTGATACTTTTTGGCTTCGTGTAGTGTTTGATTTCCTTGGATTAAAGTGTCAACAGTGGCCTTGTTGATTGATGATTGTAAATTGCTCAGTCGGCTGCTTAAATCAGGTCGAGTATGGACGGATGAATATTGCAAGCTACCAATGAGAGCTCGGAGTTCTTGTCTCTCTTCTTCGGTCACTGGAGAGTCAGTGGACTTCTTGCGTTCCGGTCTGATTTGAATGGGATTGATGGCTCTGACATATTTGGATTGGCTCATGTGAATGCTGTAGTCTGGAAGTTGGTTCATCTCAATGCCTGTGAAAGTGAATTGACGAAGTTTCTTGGACCCAAACGGATAAGTCTTTTCCAATTGTTCCAGTTTCTCCATGAAATACTTTCCACCTCCGCAAATACCATCGTCAACATGCAAACCCAAAACTCCTTCAAGTTGGCCAGCGTTAGGATGTTTGAGAACATGAAGACACGGATCAAAAGGCGATTGTACGAAACCCAGTTTGAGAAGTTCCTCTGAAATTGCTATGTACCAAAGAAACGGTGCATCGATCAGACCATAAGCCCCCTTTTCCAGCTTGCAAATCTCGTTGGTTTGCATTTGGAGAGCCTTGACAAGCTCTGGCACTGGTTCTATGGCAAGGGTTCTTCCCTTTTGAGGTTTACCCTGTAGGAATGCTGCTTTGATATCGAACGATCGCAGATCCCATCCCTGAGAAGCTATCATTTGCAGCAACAGCATTTTGGTGTTGCGTCCAAGAGTGGGTGAGTCTCTTGGGAGTTCTTCTAATTGGGGATCAAGGTGCCCAAGAATAACCAACCTTGCCTTTGCCTTTACCCTTTTGGCATCTTTTGTATGTTCAGTTGGGGACATATCGACATTTTTCCATGTAAGGATCCATCTGCACCTTAACACTTGATCATATGGAATCTTTTCTCGGAGAATCTTTGACACGGTGCCTGTCTTGATCCAGTTCTGAATCTCTACTTCCTTGGCCTTTTGGAATTCTTCCTTCTCGGATGCATTTAACGATGACATTTTTACTTCCGCTCTCTGTCTCTTGGCCGCTGATACCAAGAATGCCATTTCAGACTTGTCTTGTTCTGACTTCCAGTCTTGCAAATCCTGATGGTTCACGTCGATCTCGAGACGCCATGCGAGGTCCAGAGAATCAGTTAGCATGCACGGATCTTCATCTTGGCAGTACAAACCTTCACATACTAGATCATCATCGTCATCCTCATCAGGAATCGGTGTCTCAACTGCGGGATCTACTATTGGAATTTCTGGTTGCGTACTTTCGTCAACTGTGGAACCCCCTTCCTGAGACCTTGGGCCTTGACTGTGTGGAATTTCGGGTTCTTGATCTGGTTGACCTTCAGATTGATTGCTCTGGCTACTTTCTGGATTAGGGTTATGATTGGGAGGATTAAAGTTATCAAGTTCAGTGACATGTGATGGGATGTTTCCTGGATCAAGATTAACAGCACGTGTAATCCCTTGTTGAGTTATGTTGGGTAATTGTTGGGCAATCACAGAAATGGACGGTTCATTTGGCATCATTGGAATGTCATGGGCTTCTGAAGCTGTGACCGGTCTAACATTTTCTGGTGCACTGCGGAAAAGTTTGCTGGCTGATGTTGTCCAAATGGTCTGTTGGTTTTCTTGGACCACTACCTTCATAGGACCTGACCAAAACCCAGCTGCATTACCCTTTCCTGGTCGCCATACCATTACCCATTCACCAGGATGATAGGCCTGTTGACCTGGTCTGGACCTGCGCAAAAGAGCTCTTCTCAAGGCGGCATCATTGTCGGCCTGGTGATGGGCCTTTCTGGCGCTTTCACGACATGACAGCTGTTTGCGAAACTGTATGCCATGTGCCGTTTCTGAATCAGCCAGTAGATGAGCTGGAAGGAGTTCATCGCTGCAAATGGCTCCCGGTATCCTGGTATGTTTTCCCAGAACAAGGACTTCAGGTGCATACCCCTTACGCAAGCTACAGGCGTTCTTTGCTTGAATGCACCACCATAAGGCTTCCCGGAGGTCTTGATAGCTGTTAATAGGGTGTTCAGCCTCATATTTGGATAGCATGGTCTTGACAATGGCTCCATGTCTCTCAGCTTTTCCATTTTGAAATGGAGCTTCGGTGCTTATGGTAGTTACCTTGATGTTATGGCTTTGGGTGAATTCCGAAAACTCCTCAGAATTAAATTCTGTCCCGGCATCAACAATCATTTCGGCTGGAGCTCCGGCCCAGGAAAGCCACATCTGCATGAAACCCTGCAGGAAACCTGCGGTTGAACTATCAGGTGCACAACATGCTGTTTGGAAACTGGTTGCCCAATCTACCACATGATATAGATGAAACTTCGTCCCTTGTTTGTTGGTCCACTCTAAACCATCCACACAAACTCTGTCATTGAAGTCCAGCTCATCTCGAATGGTGCTCGGCTTCGCAAGCTTGGGCTGTGTCTGAGACTGGCACACGGAACAACGCAGATCCAAAGCCCCTTGTGCAACCTCAGGTCGAAAACCTTGGCTTTTCAGCAGGGTGCTCAATCTTTCAGGACTGGGGTGACCTAAATTCTTGTGGGCCCTGATGATCATACTTCGTTCTTCAGGTGACAGGGCTTTGAATCTTGGGGATTGCTCTGGACTTCTCAGATCTTCTGTCTGAGACGGCGTGAGCTTGGTAGTCACGTAGGAATCTTTGCATATTCCAGGCTGGAACGCTGAGTTGGGACAAACTTCGTTGTCCACAATAGCGCCGGGATTGCTTGAATTTTCTGGCTCATGCAACTGCGGTCGGTCGACTGCAGGCTCGGCATCGCTTGGTGTTGACACTCTGATGTTTGTGTTGAGACTTTCGGGGTTGGTTCTGGCAAACATGGTTATGTTAATGCTGCATGGATGTGATGGTCGAATGAGGTTTCTTTTTGCAAGTGTTTCCCAAGATTCCCATTCTTCCTCAGCTCGGATATCACCTGACTGTCTGTCGATGAACACACTTTTGCGAAAGGGAGCTTCTCCTAAGATCATGTTCTTTGGAGGGGCAATGGTTCGGCTGCACCCTCGGCATGCAATGACACTTCGGATGTCCTTGTCAGTCACCAGGTTCTTAATCTCAGTTAA